AATGAAATAGAAAACATAAAAATCAGAACTGATAAATCTGAGACTTGGCTACTTGTAAATAGCTGTAAGATGCCTAGACTTGTAAGGGTCCAATAAAGGGAGGGACAGGGAGCAAGTGAGAGAGAGAATACAAAAAAATTAGAAAAGTGGAGGAAATTTAACTAAAGATACAGAGGAGGGTTTTCAAATTAAAGAGAACACCAAATACATAGGTATGCTAGTGCTCAATGGAGGGTGCACGTGTATTCGTCTGCTTGGGTGCCATAACAAGAAACCGCAGACTGGGTGGCTTACACAACAGAAGTTCATTTTCTCACAATTCTGGAGGCTGGAAGTCCAAGATCAAGGTGCCGGCAGGCTTGGTTTCTGGTGAGACCTCTTTTCCTGGCTTTCAGATAGCCACCTTCTCTCTGTGTCCTCACGGGGCCTCTCCTCTGTCCTCCTGTGGAGAAAGAGAGAGAGATCTCTGGAGTCTCTCCCTCTTCTTACTTATTGGATGAAGGCCCCTCCCTCATGACCTCATTTAACCTTAATTACTTCTTTAAAGGTCCTGTCTCCAAATACAGTCAAGTTGTTGTTAGAGCTTCAACATATGAATTTCGGGGGGGCACAATTCAGTCCATAACAGCATACTTTTCTAGAAAAATGGGAATTGTGAAGAGAAGTAGAAAATCACTGAACCAACTTGAAAACTGACAGAACGATTTCCCAAATGAATACGGGTCAGAGAGTTCTTTCAAACTTTCAAAGAATATTTCTAGGCTATTTAAACTGTCCAGAAAACAGAAAAAGATAGAATGAGTTCCGATTCATTTTTCAAATCCAGCGCAGCCATAACACATACATCTGACAAAGATCACTCAGTCTGGCATCTTAACAAGACCCCAGGTGATTCGTGTGCGTGTTAGTTTGAGAAGCACCGCGCTGCACTACACTGGGGGTTTTCAAGATAAGGTCCTCAAATCTAAGGAGCTAGCAGGAGCCCAAATGGGCCGAGACCAGGGCAGCCTTGAACAAGGAGCGGCCCACAGAGGCAGCACAGAGAAGCCCTGGGCCACAGTTCAAGTGCTCAGAGGGGCTACCGAGGCTGTGCACACCAGCCTGCTGGACATGCAGGGAGCCTCAAGGTGCCAGGAATGGAGTGGACAACCCCAGTCCAGTGCCACGTACACGGGGCATGAGTTTGACAAGCTCGGGATATCCTGGAGGATGTTCCTGGGGCCGAGGGCACAGAATTAACCCTAACTGCTAGAGGCCATGAGGAGGCAGATCAGCTCAGCTCAGTGGGAGAAACCTAACAACGGAACTCTCTGGGGAGGTAGGAGCTCCCCATCGCTGTATGACCATCCTCCGGGGATGCTCCCGAGGGGATGCTGGCACTGGGAGAGAAGCTGGCCTTGATGTCATCAGAAGTCTCTCCAAGCTTGAAAGATTCAGACTCATAGTGAGTCTACTCCTCCAACAGCTCCATACCACCCCATAATGGTCACTGCTGACCTGGCTGGCCAGGACACACAATTTTTCATTTTCAGAAAACATTGTTTCTGCATGCTCCGTGCCTTTCTCCTCTCCATGTTTGTATTACCATCTGTGGCACCATCTCTCAAGATGATCGGTGTGGGAGAGGAGTGAACAGAAAGCAGATCTGACCTTGCCTGCATTATTGCAATTATATTGCATATATACGTGCATATATATACATATATTGCATTATATACATGCAGACAGGCCTGAGAAGTGCCATCCAGACAGCTGTATCTGCATCCCTCTCTCCCCTCGTGTTGCCATGGTGAGCAACCTGTCAGATCCCAGACTCGGACAGATGCTGGGAGAAGGCGGCAGGCTTGAGGACCATTCAAGATGTCCATTAGAAGCATTAACAACCCTGGCCTTCGCTCTCTCCGTAATGGACTAAATGTGGGCCTGCCGCACTATTGTGTGCTTAGCCACAAAGAAACCTGCAACAGCTAATGCCCTGTTCTTTATGATGTGGATTTCAATGACGATGAAGTGCTTTCATTATCATCTCCATTCACAGACTTACAAATGCCCGAATTACTCAAGGCCTGGATACTCCCGGTCACAAGTATGAAAAAGGCTGTAGGACTGGGAATTTAAAAAGCAAAAGCATTACCAGTGTCATCAGTAAACACCGTGCCAGGCTTTGGGGGGATGTAAGAGCGGACACTGAACCACCTGTTAACTCCCAGTAGGGCCAATGTCATAGTTCCTTCAACACTGGGTTGCAGGCTCAGAGAAAATGAGTACTCTGTCACATAAATGATATAGAAGTTACAATTTACCAAGGACACCTTCTCAGCAAAGTATACCAGGAGATATCTCTGGGGTGGATGGGTTGGTGTACAGTGAGCATGACTCTGTGGGCCTCTCATTCCTCACAGGGGACAGCTTGGTTGGAGGTACTAGAATTCCCACCAGTCTAGAGTAAGGTCCTGCCAGAACGAAGCCCCAAGTGAGCCCTGGCCAAGCTGTTTATCCCCCCACCCTGAGCTAGGACTTCAGGTTTGCTCCCTTGGAGAGGAAGGAATACACTGTGTACATATGGAGAAAAAGAAACAAATACTGGTGACAAGAAGGACAGATTGGGGACGTTCTTAGGACTCTTGACAAAGTCCCCATTCTCCTTCTGCGCACGTGTACCTCCTTGACTCTTGAAGTTAGGTGTGGCCAAGAGACTCGCTTTGGACAATGAACTGTCAGTGGAAGTGACATTTATCATTTCAGTGGACGTGAGAGAATAGGGTAGAAGCAATATTTGAAGAGAGAATGGCTGAGTGTTTTCCAAAACGAATGAAAGACACTAATCCACAGATTCCAGAGGTCTAACAAAAAAATTAAAAGAACGAATAAGTAAAAAGAAATCCACAGGTCAACATCATAGTGAAACTATAGAGAAACAAAAGAGGAAGAAAAATTCTTTAAAACACGTGTAGGGAAAGAAATAGATTACCTTCAGGGCCGGCCCTGTGGCATAGTGGTTAAGTGCGTGCGCTCCACTGCTGGCGGCCCAGGTTCAGATCCCGGGTGCACACCGATGCACCACTTGTCAGGCCGTGCTGTGGTGGCATCCCATATAAAGTGGAGGAAGATGGGCACAGATGTTAGCCCAGGGCCAATCTTCCTCAGCAAAATAAAAGAGGAGGATTGGCATGGATGTTAGCTCAGGGCTGATCTTCCTTGGGAAAAAAAAAAAAAGAAAGAAATAGATTACCTTCATAAGAAGTTAGGTAACAATGGAATTCTGAATTCTCAACCACAGAGTGGAAGCTAGAAGAAATTGAACTCCGCTTCAATGTGAAGGAAGAAAATAACACAACTACACTCAGCAAAAATATCTTTCAAGAATAAGAGTGAAATAAAGACATTTTCAGACAAACAAAACCAAAAGTTTGTCAAGAAGAAATTCTAAAAGGTAAACTTCCAGCAGACACAAAGTGATCCCACTTGGTGGGTCTGAGATGCAAGAAGCAGAGAGAAGTAAACAGGAGGACAAGTGTAAACAAACTTTGACAACGTAAAGTGACAATAATAATACTGTCTTGTGAAGTTTTCTAAAATTAGGCTTAAAATACAGGGGACAATAACATAATAAGTCAGGAAGGGAGTAAATGAAGAAAAAGTCTGTATTATCCAGGAAGAGGGTGAAACTTTTACTAACTTTAAACCTTGATAAGTTATCTATGAATGTTTTAATTTTTAGAGTAACCACTAAATGATCAGAGAATGTATAACTCACAAAATAGTGGGGGAAATGGAAAGATTTTTTAAAACCATCTATTTAAAATAAGAGAAGAGGGGCTGGTTTGGTGGTGTAGCAGTTAAGTTCATGCCCTCTGCTTCAGCAACTCAGAGTTCGCCGGTTCGGATCCTGGGCATGGACCTATTCACCACTCATCAAGCCATACTGAGGCAGCATCCCACATAGAGTAACTAGAAGGATGTACAACTATGACATACAACTATCTACTGGGGCTTTTGGGAGAAAAAAGGAGAAAGATTGGCAACAGATGTTAGCTCAGGGCCAATCTTCCTCAAAAAAAAATAAAATAAAATAAGAGAAGAAAGGAGAAAAAATAAACCAAAGAGGGGCCAGCCCAGTGGCATAGTGGTTAAGTTTTCATGCTCTGCTTTGGCAGCCTGGGGTTCAAAGGTTCAGATCCCAGCACAGACCTGCACACCACTTATCAAGCCATGCTGTGGCAGGCGTCCCACATAAAGTAGAGGAAGATGGGCACAGATGTTAGCTCAGGGCCAATCTTCCTAAGCAAAATAAATAAATAAATAAACCAAAGAATAAATCAGGAAGCACAAAATAAGATGGCAGATTTAAACCCAAATATATTAGGAATTATATTAAACATATAAGTTTAAAGACAGTTAAATTATAACAGACACACCACAAACAATGTTTCCCCCTCCCCAAAGCCCCGGTACGTAGTTGTATATTCTAGTTGCAGGTCCTTCTAGTTCTTCTATGTGAGCCACCACCACAGCATGGCTACTGACAGACAGGTGGTGTGGTTCCCCACCTGGGAACCAAACCCAGACTGCCAAAGTGGAGCACACCAAACTTTAACCACTAGGCCATCAGGGCTGGCTCCACAAACAATTTTGAATGGCAGCCATCCCCAAAGCCTCCCCACCCCTTGAAAGTGAGGGATGACAAGTAGCCTTTTCCTGATGACTCACACTGCCCCTTGTGATCCCCCGTGACTGCTCCTTGACATCACACAGTATAACACGCAGAGTCAAGGGGGCTGGTACAGACCTTCTTCAGCTCCCCGCAGGGCTGCTGTGGGTTTTTGGCTCCTGCCTCTGTGTTACATGGTTCTTCTGTCTCACGTGCCGTTTGATAACTCTGTTCTCTGTGCAGCTGCTTCCGGCAGCTCCTTGTCCTGTTTCTAACCCACCACTCACGGTCCCAGAGAACAGCGAACACGAGAACATGAGTCGTTAAGACCTTCGCCTACGAGGGCCAACGCTGGGGCAGAAGACAGCTCCCTCCTTCTCACCAAAGGGCTTTTCCACGAGGGGTATTACATTTTGACTCTGGGCGGTGAGCTACTCTGCTTCAAGAACAATTTCTCATGGAGTCAGAAGCCTTAGAAATTTGCCCTTACAACCCTCGCCACCGAATCCCACTCAGCAGATTTCAGTACCACCTGGCATCATGCAGGAGAAAGAACCCCAAGAAAGCCAAACAGACTGCCAGCTGCAAATACAACGCCTGCCACGTGGTCCCCATCAGGAAGCTGGAGGAGCACGAGGCTGCCTGTGTCGACAGGAGCACGGCGGAGGAGGAGGGCAGCGTGAGCCCTCTGAAAGTTAGCCTCCCAAGTCCAGAGCAGAACAGAAACACCCCTCTGGTGTCCCCCTGGCTCCCCAGCGCTGAGGTCTGGAACGTCGATGGTCCTAACTGCCACCCCATGTTTATCCTTACGACTTTTGCTCCCCAATAGCTTGCTTGTGAGAGCGACGGAAGAGAGACAGAGAGAGAGGACCACCTCCCATCCTTGACCACCCCCCACAAGATCATCAGACCAGAAGAGTAGACCTCCAGCAGCAGAAAGGAGACCCACGCCTCTTAAACGCATGAAAGGAGATGCAACTCACAAGAATAAAAGGCATGCAAAGTAAATTTCACTGGAACACTTTTTTTTTTTTTTCACCTAAGCAGATTGGTAAAGATTAAAAGGCTTACGAGATTCTGCCAGCAAAAGTGGGGCAAAATGGGCACTTTCATACCATTGGTGAGAACATAAGTTGATAAACCTCCATGGAGGGCAATTTGACAATAGCTATAAAAATTATCAATGCACTGTGCTTCGATGGAGCCATTCCACTTCTAGGAATTCGTCCTTAAAATATAGTCACACATGTGGAAAATGAGGTAAATACAAGGTTATTCACTGCAGCGTTATTTGTAGCAGCAAAAGGTCAGAAATGATCTAAATATCCATTAGGAGGGTTTGATTAAATGAAGTGTGGTGCAGCTATACAATGAAATAGTATGCTGCCATGAAAAAGAATGAGGAAGCTCTTTCTGTACTGACATGGAAAGGCTAAGACATGTTGTTTAACTTGGAGACCAGCAAACTGTTTCTCTAAAGGGCCAGAGAAAAAAATATTTTAGGCTTTTTTTGTGAGCTATATGGTCTCTGTCGCAACTATTCGGTTCTGCCTTGGTAGAGTGAAAGCAGTCACAGACGATATGTAGACAAATGAATGTTGTTAGTGTCAATGAGTCAATTCCGAGTCTTAGCGGCCCTGTGTACAGCAGAATGGGACCCTGCCCAGTCTTTCTGCATCCTCCTCCCCTCTTCTGGCACTGTATCATCAGGCAACACTCCGCTGCTATTCACAGGGTTTTCATGGCCAATTTTTTGAGAAGTGGGTAGCCACATCCTTCTTCCTAGTCTGTCTTAGTCTAGAAGCTCCACTGAAACCTGTCCACCATGGGTGACCCTGCTGGTATCTGAAATACTAGTAGCATAGCTTTCAGCATCACAGCAACACACGGCCACCAGAGAATGACAACTGACAGATGGGTGGTGTGGTTCCCTGACTGGGGAACCCGGGCCACAGCCGTGAGGGCACTGAATCTTAACCACTAGACCATGGCTGCCTCAAATGAACATAGGTTTCCATAAAACTATTTACAGAAACCAGTCATGGACTGGATTTGGCCAGTGGGCCAGTTTGCCAACCCCTGGTTTAACGGATAAAAGTCAAGTCCAGAACACTCTATATGTTGTGCCACCATTTTGTAGAGTTGTGGGAAAGGAGGTGTATAGGGATGTGCTTATATTTGCATAAAATTCCTCTTCAAGGATCCACTAGAACAGGGGTCTACCCACAAAGCCTAAAATATTTACTATCTAATCCCCACAGAAAAACGTTGCTAATCCCTTCACCAGAAACTAATATCAGCTGCCTCCGGGAAGACCACCAGGTGACAGCAGGTCAGGGAAGAGAGGATTTTTACACATGAACACATGTGAATGCATTATCTGGTAAAAAAATTAAAATACACATTTTTCAGGAGGAAATTTTAAGTAAGTTGTCTTTTTGTTAAAAGATTGGCCCTGAGCTAACATCTGTTGCCAATCTTCCTCTTTTTTCTTTTCTTTTCCTCCCCAAAGCCTCAGTACATAGTTGTATATTCTAGTTGCAGGTCCTTCTAGTTCTTCTATGTGAGCGGCTGCCACAGCATGGCTACTGACAGACAAGCGGTGTGGTTCTGCGACCAGGAACCGAACCTGGGCCACCGAAGCGGAACACGCCAAACTTTAGCCACTAGGCCATCAGGGCTGGCTCTTAAGTTTTTTAAAAGCAATCATAGTGCTCGCTTCGGCAGCACATATACTAAAATTGGAACGATACAGAGAAGATTAGCATGGCCCCTGCGCAAGGATGACATGCAAATTCGTGAAGCGTTCCATATTTTTTGGGTTGTAATTAGTATTTTGGTGGTGAACATGATGTAATCTATGCAGAAATAGAAGTACAATGATGTACACCTGAAATTTTTACAATGTTATAAACCAATGTTACTGCAATAAACAAAAAATTTAAAAAAATAATAAAAAAATAAATAAATAAAAGCAATCATAACTTTGCCACCCCTGACCCCTTCAACTCTTTCTACAAAGTATTAAAGATTTTATTTATTTTATTTTTCCCCCCAAAGCCCCAGTGGATAGCTGTATGTCGTAGCTGCACATCTTTCTAGTTGCTGTATGCGGGACTCGGCCTCAGGATGAACGGAGAAGCGGTGCCTCGATGCGCACCCGGGATCCGAACCCGGGCCACCAGCATCGCAGCGCGCGCACTTAACCACCAAGCCACAGGGCCGGCCCTCTACAAAGTATTAAATAAAGATTTATTCTTGGGGGAAAAAGAGAAGTTCTGGATGTTGGCCTCAGAAACTCCACGATTAACAAAGTGCATGGACTAGAGAATTGCCATCTAGGAAGCAGGTGAAACAAGACATGATGAGTAAGGCACATATCTGTAAACTGCAGGCCCATAGGACCAAGAAAAAGAAAAAAGGAATTTGGTTTGGGGTATGAATGAAGCAAATTGGTCATGAGTTAATCATTGTTGAAGCTGAGTGAAGGATAAATTTTACTGTTCTCTACTTTTATATAAATGTGTTTATTTTACTATTCTCTCTATTTTTATATAGATTTGCAATCTTATATAATAAAAATAGTTTTTTAAAAAATATATGTATATATACTAAATGCGATGTGGTATCCTGGATTGGATCCCGGAACAGAAAAAGAGATTAGTGGTGTTGACGCAAATAATCAATAACCAATCTATAGATAAGAAAGATATTTAATGAGCTAATGTGATGACTAATTCCAGAGGTGTTCTCTCCACAAGAAAGAAAGCACTCGGGGGAGTGTGGTTTACAGCATGGTTATACATGTTTCAGAAAAAAGAACATACATCAAGCATGACAGAAATACAGTTTTTCCCCCCAAATCACAAGGAGATGTTTTGCTGCAGTTTAGCACATACACAGCAGGTCAACTTGACCTTAGTTCTCTGGGAAGAAAAGCTTATATTCAAAGAAGTACAGGTATCAGTGTCAGAGAGAAGGAGCCATTACATCCCCATCTGGAAAGAGTGCATTCTTTGCTTTGGGAAAGTGTTTGAAGCAGATGTACAATGCATGTTTGCTGGGCCATGAGTCAGGCTGCTCTGGGAAAAACAAGTTTTAGGCTGAATCAGATCTAAACCAGAATGGCTTCCCCTATAACTCAATATGTGAAAATTTCTTGTTAGTCTTACTATTTTAATCAGTGGAAAAGCTGGTAAAATCCAAATAAAGTCTGTGGTTTAGTTAATAGTATTTTACCAATGTGAATGTCTTAGTGTTGCTCAATGCCCCGTGGTCTTGTAAGATGTCGACACTAGGGGAAGTCAAGTGGAGGGCATAGGGGAACTCTTTGTCCTATCTTTGCAAGTTTTCTGTAAACCTAAAATGACTTCAAAATAAAAAATTTAAACACACACAGAGCAAAGAGCAACACAATGGATACAAGGAGGGACTTGCAAGACGCCTTGCTGGGACTGAAGCCCAGCCTTACTTCCTCTTGTCTGCTAGACCTTGGACAGCTGCCTGACCGCTGCAGGACCGAAATGTGATCCTGTTTCTTCAGCCACAAAGCGAGGGTGATAAGCTCATAGGATTGTGCGGAGAACTAAGGGATTTAACACCAGCAGGATGACCAGGACAGTATCTAATACATAGGAAGCCCTCAATGCCAACTACTAATAGTAGTAACAGTGGTGGTGGTATTCAAAAAAAAAAAATGTAATGGAGTAGGAGAAACAATGATGAATAAGTAAATTTATAAAATATGTAAACAAGTTTAATTAACCAAAAAAATCATCAATTTTGCATTCAAAATGATAAAACAAAACTTGTAGATAAAAATACGCTAGGGGAGGGCATTGTTCAGAAGGATAAAAACATTGAATAACAAAAATGTACATTAAAAATTTTAAATAGCCTCTAAAATAACAGAAATATTTTTATATGTTCCAAACCAAGCAAGAGGAGAAAACAGACAAGAGATTACAGAAAACTTTATAAATTCAACAAAGAAAAAGAGGAAAAAGGAATAGCAAAGAGAAAACACAATTAAATGATAGAAATCAATCCAAATATATCAATAATCATATAAATGAAAACATTTAACTTGCCTATTAAAAAAATATTCCCTTTATCTCTCTAAATCAAGTACATGTCCATTCTGATCAATACTAACCAATACCTTTAAGCCAGAGATAGTAGTAAATACGTGAAATGTGTGCCACCACCACCACCTCCCATGCGTACAACAGACATAACTAATCAATCATAGCACTCTTTCAGAATCCTTCTTAACACAAAGCTCCAGGCTGCCATTACATAGAGATAAAGGGTAGCTCTATCTTGACAGAGCCCCCTGTAGGCAGGTTCCCCACTTGGCCCACTCTCACCCTCATGGCCTGACTCAAGGTGCTTCAGGAAGAGTAAGGAAATAAAGGGCTTAAGAAAAACTCCTGCCTGGAGATCTAGTGGGAAAGACCAGGCAAGAGAGGGGGAATGCCCATTCTAAGTTCCTGAGCTGGATCTCAGCCAGCTGTTCCCTCTCCTCTTCAGCCCTCGGCCCTTGCCTCTGCAGGGCCTGTCTCCAGGAGAACACCAGCTGCCAGCCACACTCTAACAGGGACCATCGTAAAGACACTCGTTAGTGGTGACAGTGACCACAGCAAGCGAATGCTGGGCTGGGCGCCAGTGATTGACAGAAAGGAGAGCAGCAGATGGACTTGGGAAAGGCAGCCCTCCCAGCCCTGGGCAGCAGGCAAGCTTTCCAAGTTCGTGTTGGGGATTCCTGGCAAAGAGGGAGCCTGGCAGAAAAGCCACGTCCTAGGGCAGAGGGGGCTCCAGAGGGAAAGGGGAGCTGTACTGGGGCCAGGCGCCTTCCTTGCGGATATTATTA